CTTTAAAACCCACAAGTCACATGTTTTCCATTAAGCCTTTTCCTACTCCTCATCCACTTCCCATACCCATCTGCAGCCAAATTTCTTAAAAGTTATTTGCACTTGAGGTCTCCACTTAACTCACCTCTTAGATGCTCTTCATCTCACTACTCCATTTCCATCCCTTCAGTGTAGTGATACTGTTTCTGTGAAGGTCACAATAACTTCCATGTTGCCAAATTATGTGAAGAGTATTAGTGTTTAGTAGAGAATACTGGTTTTACCACATGATCCTCTCCTGGCTTTTCTGTCTTATTGGCTGCTCCTTCCCTTATGTCTCTGTACTCTTCCCTATGCATTTCAGCAGGGTTCTGATACTGCCCCCAAAATATAATGGTTTGTGGCCTTCAAAGGGCCACAGTACATGAAGAAACATACAGTGTCTATCTATGGTACTGAAATTTCCCAGAGTGGGTGGTATGAACAAAAATGTCTACAAAGCTCCTTAAGGGGGCAATAATGAAAAAAAGGTTGAGAAACACTGTTCTGTCCAATCTCTGCTAGGAAATCTCTGCCCAATTTCATACTGGGAAACTTCAAGGAACAACCCTGGACCCTCTTCTCTCTTTCTTTTTTTTTGGACAAGAAGTAGGATTTACTAGTGGGCATGAGTAAGTAAGAGGCAGCTCCGAGGAGTTCATAAGAGCAGGGCCCATCATTTGTCCCAGGTGCCACAATTAGGGATGTATTTGATCCCCATTCCCACAGCCGTCTGGGATGAACAGTTTTCAGCCACCATGTCTTCAAATTCACCTGCATTAAACTTAGTAAAGCCCCATGTCTTAGAGATGTGGACTTTCCGGTGGTCAGGGAACTTAATTTGGCCCTGCGTAGGGCGTCAATCACATGATCCTTGTTCTGCAGCTTGGTGTGGATATACCTGATGACCTGGCCAATGTGGACCTTGGGACTTTCCAAAGGCACACTGCATACAGTCCCAGCACAAGACATCTTGTTGATGTGGATGGTGTGAAAGGGGTGGGGCTTCATTCCAATGTCAAAGCCATCTTTGCCACAGCTTTTTACCATGTACTTGTGGGCATCAATATGGGCAGCCTCCAGGGATTCAGAGGAGAGTTGCTCATATTCATCTGGCATCACGTGGCCAGAGTGGGAACTCGTCCACTTGTGCCTCCACCCTGGTCAAAGATGCAGATGTTGAACAGGGACCCCTCAGAAAAGTGAACTTTGGTATAGCTTGTTCTTACTATATTGGTAACACAAAGCTGGCCATACCAGGATCTTCAGTGGCACACAAAAGGCAAAGTGCTCTTCTCTTTTCATACTCTTTCTCTTAATGATCTCAACAATTTCCACAGATTTAAATACCATTTTTATACTGATGACTCTCAAATTCTTACCTTAAATTTCAGTGTCCTCTAGAACTCATGGTCTCTCATCAACAAAAACTTCCAAGTATTTTCTTCTCTTAATGTTCCTGTCACCTTCTCACCTAAATAAAATTTGTTTCTGCATTGATGATGTTGCAGCCCTCTCAAGTGATAGCTCTTTTCTTTACTTCTTTACCTGTGAGCTTGGAGGTGGAACAGATATCTACTTGCTCCTTATTGTTATTCCCTCTTCCTCTCCTCCCTAAAACTCCTCAGTTTTATTATTTATTTGTTTATTTATATTACCATTATATTTTATTGAAGTATAGTTGGCATACATTATATTGGCTTCATATATACAACATAGTGATTCAATGGCTAACTGTATTTTTAAATGCTTACCCCAACCAGTGTAGTCAACAAAGAATGACATTATATAATTATTGACTATATTCTCTATGCTGTGCTTTCATCCATGTCTCTAACTTATATTATGATTGGGATTTGTGCCTCTTTATCCCCTTAGCCTATTTCACCCACTGACTCTACCCCTCTAAGTAACCACCAGTCACTTCTCAGTGTCTATGGGTCTATTTTTGTTTTGTTTAATTTTTTTAGATTCCATATATAAGTGAAATCATATGGTATTTGTCTTTCTCTGCCTTGCTTATTTCACTCAACACAGTATCCTCTAGGTCAACCCATGTTGTTGCAAATGGCATGATTTCTTTCCTTTTTATAATTAAATATTCCATTGTATATATGTGTCACATCTTCTTTATTCATTTACTGATAGGCACTTTGATTGCTTCCATATCTTGGTTACTGTAAATAGTATAGCAATAAACATAGGTGTGCATATATCTTTTTCAATCAGTGATTTTTGTTTCCTTCGGGTATATGCCCAGAAGTGGAATTATTGGGTATTTCTACTTTTAGTTTTTTGAGGAACCTCCATACTGCATGCCATAGTGGCTGCACCAATTTACATTCCCACCAACAGTACAGGAGGGCTCCCTTTTCTCCATATCCTCACCAACACTTGTTTGTTCTTGTCTTTGGGTAGTAAGCATTTTCACTTGTGCAAGGTTTTGTGGATTTGATTAGCATTCCCCTGATGATTAGTGATGTTGAACATCTTTTCATGTGCCTGTTGGCCATATTACCAAGCTTCCCCACCCCACCCCACTGCAATCACTGTCCATCAGCGTAGTAAGATACTATAGAGTCACTACTTGTCTTCTCCGACCTGCACCTATTTTTAATACATTCTGTCTTCCCCTCTATTGCTATGGATGAACTATCTGTACTAATACTTCTATTTCATACTTTGTCAAAAGTACTCTTCCTTTCTTCTAACTTTATCTTTTTAAAAACAGTTTTATTGAGAAACAATTCACATACTATACAATTAACCCATTTAAAGTATACAACTCAATGTTATATTAACAGGATTGTGCAATTATCATCACAATCTATTTAGAACATTTTGTCTCCCCTAAAAGAAACCTTGTATCCATAAGCTGTCAATCCCTATTTCCCCTTAATTCCCCCTACCTCTTCCTCCTTCCTGAGCAACCACTAATTTACTTTCTCTTTCTGTATAATTGCCTATTCTGGACATTTCATATAAATGGGATAAAACTATAGTCTTTTGTAACTTGGCTGCTTTGACTTTACATAAGGTCTTTAAGATTTATCCATATTTATAACATGTATTAGTATTCTCTTTATGGCTGAATAATATTTTATTGTTGGATATGCCACATTTTGTTTGTCCACTCATCAGTTAATGGACATATGGGTTGTTTCCATAAATAAACTTAAATCAAGTAAACTTTAATATTCAGTTCCTTAGTCACACTGGTTACACTCTAAGAGCTCAAAAGCCACATGTGCCTAGTGGCTACTAATTGGGACAGCACAGATACAGGATGTTTTCATCATCACAGAATGTTTATTACACAGTGCTGATCTAGACCTCTCCTCTGAACTCTAGATTTATATATCCAACAGCCTTCCTGATAGTTCCACTTAGGTGTGAATAAACATTTCAAAACCAACACCCTGATATTACTCCCTGAACATGTTCCTCACATTTTTTCCTGTTTAGTTGATGCTAACTCCATCTTTCCAGTTGTTTAAGCCACAAACCATGGGGCGATCCTTTGTGGTGACCCCACTCTCACTTTTATCCTACATTTAACTGACCAGCAAATTCTGCCAACTTGGATTCAGAAGCTGACGACATTCTACAATCTCCACTTCTTCAACACTGTTTAAAGCCACCACGATCTTCAACCAGTTGTAATAGTTCCCAAACTGACAGCCCTGCATTGGTAATTACCCACCTAAGTTCTATTTTCAATATAACCACCAGAATTCTTGTTAAAGTCAAATCATGTCAGTCCTCTGCTTAAAACCCTCTAATGGCTTCCCAGCTCATTTACAGCAAAAGTCAAAGTTGCTATAACAGCCTATAGGGCCCTATATGATCTGGCCCCATTACCCCTCCTACCACCACCTCCCCTTCACACACACCTTGGCAGTCCTACTGCCTATTCCTCAAAAGCACCAAGCATATTTCAGCCTTCCCCATAAAATATAATTTAGAAATCACAAAGTTTAAGAATCACTAAGCTAGGCTAAAAGTGTTATAAGCAGAAATTCTATTTCCATATATTTAGGTGTTTACAGTAATCTACGTATAACTAGTGCATGGGATTAAATGGTATTAGTTACATAAAGAAAAGGTCTTCCAAAAGCTGTAATCTCAATTACTTTACTAATACTACATCTCAAAAAAGTCAGTTATTAGCTACTTATCTGGAATTCCATAAACAAACTAATTGGCTGACAAGATTTTTTAAAATAAAAATTTAATTACTAAAAAAACTTTAAGAAAATGGATTAGGATTTCCTATTTGGTAATAACTTAAGTATATAAATCCTTATTTGCTAAACTTAAAAAGACCTCAGTGTGCTATACAACTACCTGTTCTGTAAACAAGTTCTACTCTAGCTGGTCTGCAAACTCTGTATTATTGGTTTGATTTGAAATAATAAGCTGGCATAAAAATGTAATTAAATACACTTCTTCCTTCATCGAGAAATTTTGCTAGGAAAAAATTTCAGAAGAACTTAACAGTGTGTTTACTAATGTAAATGTTTTAGGTACAAGCCCCTATCTCACTATAACTGGTAACTAACATTTCACAGGCTGGCATAGGTCCATACATCAAACTTTGGATAGCACTGCTCTAAATCACTTCTTGGGTCTTTAATTCAAGTCTACTCAATATTTTTTAATACTTTCTACATGCAAGGTCAGAGTTACTGTTCCGTTTCTCATCCTGGAATTTACTGGGGTTAATATGTAGCTTGCTGTTTTGTAGACGTCATCCAGTTTCCTTATTTATATTATAGAATTTTAATGCTGGTCAGAAAGAAGCCCTTAACATCGAAGAACAGTAACATACTTGTAAAATTTTTTAATTATGCATTCAAAATTATAATTTTAAAACATAATATAATAGCACTTCAGAAAGATGAGATTTGGTAATATATTAGCTTTGAAAACTTCGTGTTTTTTTTTAAATGATAAAAAATCATCCACTTTTCAATACTAACCTAAATATTCCATCAGCTGTTCAGCAGTTATGATTTCCATCATCGGTGGAAGTTTCACCTGAAAAACAAAGTATTTTCTTAAAATCAAATGTTTTAGTGATTAAAGTGTTACCATCAGTCAGAAACACATGTACGTATGTATATATATAAACATCTACTATAAGTGTATATTAATATTCACATTATTAATATCTCTATAATCTTTATAAAATATAGCAAAGTCAAACCTATCACCATAAAATTTATAGGATGATATTAGATCTCCCAGAGATATTGAGAAATCTGTTTTCAAACTCAAGTGCTCTATCTTTCATCACTGATGAAAACATCTGTCATTACGTACCAAACATGTGACAGCAGTTTAACTGAAGCCAGGCTTGAACTCAGCTTAGTACCCCATTACTTCAGTCTATTTTTACTGTTAAATGGCTAAAATGAATATAGTATTAAAGTATTAGTCATATACTAAAGAATTTATGCTGTATGTTTCCAATTGAAAGTTTAAAAGCAGGCAAAATTAAACCATATTGTTTAGAGCTCCATATTTGGTGATGAAATGATAAAGAAAAGTAAGGAAATGAGTGCCAGAAAAATCAGGATTATGGTTAGTTTTAGGGGTAAGGAAAGGAGTTATAGTTGGAAAGAGGTATATAAGAAAGGCTTGTGGGGGGCTGGCAATGCTCTATTTCTTGACTTCTATGGTAGTTCTGCTGATATTTGTGTTAAAATAACTTATTAAACTGGACAACACTTCTCTGTATATGTTATATTTCACAATAAAAAGGTTAAAAGTTGATACATACCTTACAGTCATATTTAAGTTCTAAAGTTAATTCAGTTGCAACACATTGGTCTAAATTATTCAAAAGAATTGTCAGATGAGTTGTACAGATATTATGACTGTAAATATTTTAACTGACTTGTTCAAAAGCATGCTGTGTTATATGCATAAAATAGGAGAAAAATAAATACTGTAGGATGGAAACTCAAAGTAATTAATGTATTGATAGGAAAATAGCAATATATTTATTAATTCTTCAGGAATTATTTTTCAGGAATGATTTACTGTTCAACCAAAGAAATCATTTAGGTCAGCAATTTCTCCAACAATTCCCCGAAATATTGAAGCAGTTGCTTGGGTGTTTATGTTTCCAAATGTAGCAATAGCTTATCACAATTTTTCTGTTTAATCAATGAATAAAATAAGTTCTAACAAATTTCCTGTAAAACAGAACAGTTTGAGACCTTCTAAAAATATACATGACAGTTGATGCATATGATTTCATCATCCAGTGAATTTATCACTCAGTGGAAACCAAGAGATGCCATGGAGGTTTTGATTACCACTTCATTCCAAATAATTTTTATTTTCTGTGACATGTTCTTTTAACAAATTACTACATACTCCATTTTATTTGAGCAGTTTTAGGTTTACACAAAGACCAAACAGAAATCACAGAGAGTTTCCACATATGGTATATTTTTTAATTGAAATTCATTGCACATTATGGTCCCTTGCCTGTTTTTCTATATAAAGTTTTACTGGAACACAGTAACTCTTTGTTTATATATGGTTGTTTGACTGCTTTTGCTCTACAATAGCAGAGTAGAATCCTTGCAAGGGACCATTTCGCCCACAAAGTCTAAAATATTTATGTTCTGGTCCTTTACAGGAAAAGTTTGCTGATCCCTGCTTCAGATGACTTTAACTGTTATTATGTCGTATTTTATCAAGGTGTTTTAGTACCACTTTTTGAAGGTCTGATACTTAAACCAGTAAGTTTATAGTCACTGTGAATGTTTATATTCTTAACAGCTGTCTGACCAATCTGAAAGTCCCATTTACATTAAACAATGTTTTATAAATAAGACCTATACATTCTTTTATTTCAGGCAGATTCACTCAGAAATATATTCACCAGAAAATTCCATAAGCAAGTAGCTTATTCTCTACTTTGGTTAATGTAGCAATCCTAACATAAAATTGTCAAAATAAGAAACAAAGGAACTAACAGGTATATGTATTTGGAAAATATACTCTAAAACCCTAGATTTCTACAGATATGATTTAAGGGTTTAGGCTTCCAATTTCTAAATAATAACAACTGCCTACCAAATCTTGTTTCAAATATTTGATATAGAAAATAACAACCTCTATAATGATTTAGTAGTGGGACAACAAACATGCAAATATTTTAACTGTCTTATTAACAAGCATACTCAGTGGTATATTCAGTACCTGAATTTTAGCCAATATTCTGGATAGTCATTAAAATTAGAGACAAAATAATATAATAGTGAATGCCTGCCTTTCACTAATGCTTTGGAGCCTTCAACAAATCTTAACTTTTTTCTAAATTAAGGTATCATTGATATACACTCGTATGAAGGTTTCACAAGAAAAACAATGTGGTTATTACATTCACCCTTATTATCAAGTCCCCCCCATACCCCATTGCAGTCACTGTCATTCATTGTGGTAAGATGCTACAGAGTCCCTATTTGTCTTCTCTGACCTGAACTGTCTTCCCTGTGACCCCCACACACACCATGTGCACCAATCATGATAACCCACAATTCCCTTTTCCCTCCCTCACAACCCACCCTCCCCCACCCCTCCCCTTCGGTAACCAATAGTCCCTTCTTGGAGTCTGTGAGTCTGCTGCTATTTTGTTCCTTCAGTTTTGTTTCATTGTTATATTCCACAAATGAGGGAAATCATTTGGTATTTGTTTTTCCCTACCTGACTTATTCACTGAGTATAATACACTCTAGCTCCATCCATGTTGCTGCAAATGGTAGGATTTGTTTCTTATGGTTGAATAGTATTCCATTGTGTGTATGTACCACATCTTCTTTATCCATTCATCTACTGATGGACACTTAGGTTGCTTCCATATCTTGGCTATTGTAAATAGTGATGCGATAAACACAGGGGTGCATATGTCTTTTTGAATCTGAGAAGTTGTTTTCTATGGGTAAACTCCTAGGAGTGGAATTCCCGGGTCAAATGGTATTTCTAGTTTTCATTTTTTGATGAACCTCCATATTGCTTTCCACAATGGTTGAACAAGTTTACATTCCCACCAGCAATGTAGGAGGGTTCGCCTTTCTCCGCATCCTCGCCAGCATTTGTTGTTCCTAGTCTTTTCTATGTTGGCCATCCTAACTGGTGTGAGGTAATCTCATTGTGGTTTTAATTTGCATTTTCCCTGATAAATCTTAACTTATTTAAACCACAGAATCATCTTTAAAAAGCATGCTTCTCTCTTTTGCTTTCCTGTAGCACCATCACCCCAAAAGCAAGTGCCAAAGGTTTTGTTAATGATTCTAAGACTTGCACTCCTTTGTCTCTTTAGATTTTATTAAAGAAGAAACAGGCCATAAAAAAAACTAGCTAAGAATGTAGAATTAAAACTGTGGTATTTTCTCTGAGTCACTAAATTTTAAATTTCACACACACAAAAAAATGATGTATGACCTAGGTTCTCAGGTGGTCCTCTTTTAGTAATAATCTGTAACAAACTGTTTTTAAGTAAATGAGTACTTTAATGTATACAAGATACTTGGAAGTTACTCTTTTAAGTATTTTAAGTATTCTTCCTAAAATCTGAGCAAAGCCTCTCAGCACACATTAACACACAGTTTCAAATTAACAGAGTCCAAATAAAATGAAGCTTTTATTATCTAGGAAAATAAATTATGCCCTATCCTATAAATAACATTTTATTGTATTAACTAGATTCCCTGAGCAAGTTAATATTATAAATACAGCAAGAAAAGTTATCTTAACAAAAGGAAATAGCTTCTCCAATTCCAAATATTCAAATGTAGGTAAAACCTCACTAATTCACTCCAATGATTCTGTAATTCTTAGTCACTTAAAGAGTAAAATGTATTTGAGAATAGACCCACAAGACCAAAAATAAAAACAACAAAACCTTTTGTTTAAAGTATTCATAAAATCTTAAACAGGAATATAAAACATCCCAAAAGTGATATGCCAAGATTTTGATATTCTGAGAGAAATGAAGGGTACCTGTAATAATTAATAAATAAGAAGCAGTTTATATAGGTGATGTTAAGTACAAAAATGGCCAGTCACAGAACATTATTAAATGTTTGATTATAATACCAATAAACAAATACTCAAGAAATACAGTTTGAATTCTAGTGCCTCTTTCACTTTGGAGGGATACTTGAGGATATTAAAAAATTAAGTATTTGCTAGTCTCTGCTGTTTAAGAAAGTCAGGAAGAAAAATTTAAATTTATTGAACTACTAATTGCCATTCAATATGCATGTTACCCTTAATCCACAACAATTCTATGACGCAGGCATTATTACTTCATTCAAAGAATAAAGTAAGGCATTAAAAAATTAGTTTGTCCAAAATAGCAGAGCTGTGATGTGAATTGAGATCTGACTCCAAAGTTTTCCATTATACCAGTATTTATAGACTTTTAAAAACAGCAAAATCCCTTGAAAGAAAGTGAAATCCTATTTTAAATGCACAACTTTGTGACCAATGAAAGGTGGACCAATGAGGATGATGGGGAAAGAATAATTTAAGTTTCTAAGGCTTAGAAGACTAAAAATTGAGATCCATATAAATAATAAAAATAAGAAATTTGGTAAGGAAAGATAACTTGGTAGAAGAAAATGATGTCTGCTTCAGAACTGAGAAGTTTATATTGACATTCAAACAGAAAGTTTAGTTGGAATTCAGATAACCAGTTTTAATTTGTGCATGAATTATTTAATTCCTGGGCTTCAGTCTATTTTTACATTACTTATGTATGGTAAAACGGACCAACTATATAATACAATTTCTTCTTAGTTCAAAGTTCATTAATTTTGAGTATGTAGTAAATCATATAGCATTCATGAATTTTTAGTTGAAAATAGTAAAGAAATCATTTTTTGTAAATACACTAAGTATAATTAATGGGAATCAAAGGGAAGAAATACATCTTTTTTTCAAAATAAGGATTAAAAAACTTAAGGTTCCTTTTCACATTCCTTTAATTCTGGCTCCAGCAAATAAACATGTATAAT